AACGCTCTTATCCTATTTGTAGTTCCTAGTTGATTTTGGAGTTTGATATTTAACATGGACTATGATTTACATGACTTTTATTTTAACTTACAAGCAAAGACTGAATGCAAAGAGTACAATATGACTATTAGTTCAACACGTAGTTAAAAACAATTTTTGAAAACTTCACTAATCAAATTTTCAAGGTTAATAATACACAAATTCTTCAATAGTTTATTATATAATATTATTTAAATATTTTAGGTGAACACACACACACACACACATTACTTTCTATTATTTTTTATTTTTTGTTAATTTTGATAATATTAAAAAAAAGCTTTTCGTTATGCAAAAAAAAGGAAAAAAAGCAAATATTGGAACTGTTAACTATTATATTTACCAATATGTGTAAATAGATTGAATTATTTGTTCCGTTTGTTGCTTCACATGCCAATCAATATTGAGTAATAATAATAATAGTAATAATAATAATAATAATAATAATAATAATAATAATAATAATAATAATAATGGATGAATGTGCGTGTAACTTTCTATGGCAATTAATGTGAAAATATTGGGCATATGAGTGTCTTCTTTGAGTACAATTAACTCTTGTTTATTGTAACAAGGATTAAAATATTTAGCTGACAATAAATGTGATTTATGTTAGCCCATTTTTTGGTGGCATACGAATTGCAATAAACGGTTATATTAAATTTTTATTTCTAAAGATCTTTCAACAAGCGTGTACATTATTTTGCATTGTTGGTATATTATATATAGTACATATATACATATACACACATTAAGTATATCGTAAAATGAATATGTATATTTAAAACATATAAATAATTGTCGCATTAAGTTTTAGATTATATAAAATATATTCTTTTGTATGTAGATTATTTTTACATCAATATGTATATATTATCTTCTCGACAAATTATTGTATATTTATTTCTTATCGAATGAAAAAATTCTCTACTAAATTTATATATATTTAATAATATATTAATCTATTATTTATATGTATATATTAATATATATTTATCTATAATCATCACAAATGAGAATTCCAACATTCTAATGTGTTCAATAGTATATTTAAATTAAAAAAAACACTTTTTCAAATACGCATACATTTTTTTTAATTCTCATTCGTTCCATGGAGAAAAAAAGAATTTATATAATAATCAAAAAACCTTCCATATTTACCTCATCGACATGTTACAGTATTTGCTTTAATTTACTATTCTTCTAGAATTATTCATAATTATTATTCCTCAAAGTTTGTAATTGTAAGATAGAAAGAAAGATGTTTGAATGTATGAAGAGAAATAGAGAAAAAGAGAGAGAGATTNTATATATATATATATATATATATATATATATATATATATATATATATATGTCTGTGCAAAGTCGCATATGACTAACTAATTGTATCAAGAATATAAACAATAATTATCATTTAGCAACCCCTTGGTGTTCAATTGTACTTATGTGACGTAATAAATGTTTATAGTATCCATGCACTTATGTCTTAAGTGTTAATCACATCAATACCCATTTTATCTATAAATACAAATTATTCGTTTTAAATTATTGTGATAAATAAAGTTAACCTCGAAGATTAGCTCATTTCCGATTGCAAAATACAGTTTATCTTCGTAGTTTAACTAGTGAACATCATCGGTCTTATAATAACTACTTACATGTTTGTATCCGAACTTATAATAAGGCAAATTGTTTCAAATATTTAAAGTTTATCAGTTACATATTAATCTCAAATATATAAATTTAAACAACACTTTAATTCCCGGGTAAGTAAACAGCGAATCAAATTATATCCGCCATGTTAGCTTTGTCATTGGCGCGAACGTTAAAACAATTATTTCTAAATATTCTTTCTCCTCTACTATTGAATTAATAATTAATATTACAAATTGCAAAATAGTGATATTATTTTAAATACATTTGATTATTAAATTAAAATCCTCTCGATTTGCGTTTATTTTTGAACTAATTTAACTAAATAGCTCTTGTATCACATTATCTAAGAAGGACAAAAATTATACATTATTTACAAGACTTATTATTAATCTTTTGACACGAATAAGTGCAAATAAAGGGGTTATAAAAAAAGAAATCTGAAAGATAATTCGCGTAATCTTCGATCTTCGTTTATAATTGTATTTAATTGGACTATATAAACATGGAAGAACAAAAGGCGTTTTATATAAAGATAAAATTATTAAAATACGACAACGAAAAAAGTTAAGAATTATTATAAAAATAATGTCGAAATGATTAATGCGTCTGATAAGTAACGCGGTACATCTGTGCTATAAATACCTTTATGTATAGATAATTTATTTTTAAATATTATACTACATATATGCGTGTATGCACACACATAAACAGAATTGTATCATTAAAATATGAAAATAGATCGAAGGATTATTATTACAATTATTATTATGTAATATTATAATAATGTTTGAATTACAATCGTGTTGTATTATATAAATTATTATTATTATTATAAATTATTGTTGATTATTGAAATTATAATGAAATAAGATTAAAAAAAATTACCATTGTATCTTAATAAGAAATACACACATATAATCGATGATATATCATAAAGAGAAACACTTTTAAGTAGTAGCTTAAGATCACGAGATAACTCGTGACCGAGCTAACGTTGGATTAGGCGGATTAAGCACACGTGTCGATTAGTATAACAATGACATTAAAATAAATCATACAATAAATGTTTACAATTGTGAAAATATTGTTGAATGATAAATCGATAAAAGCTAAGAAGTAGAATTTCAAGAACTTAACCACGAATCTTTGAGAGAAATGCGATCAGTTCTATCGAATTCATCAACTTTTAAAGATAGAAAATATTTTTGTACTATTATTGTTATAGATTCGAGTCACATGACGAGAATATTGTTTAAAAATAAAAATATTAATAAACGTTTGTATTCGTTTTTGTAATTAGAAAAATTACATTTTATTTGGATAAAAAGAACAATAATATGGAGAAACAGGATGACGTTTTGTTGCAATTACGAGTGGAAAGGCCACTTTATGAACAAGAAGCTTTAAACTTGGATTATCATTATGAACGACCAAGAACATCTTGTAAGTTTATGTTTAAACAAATTGTTTATATTTTTTTATAATATAATATGTAATAATCATAATCTACTAATTTATTTTTAATTATTAACTTTTAATGCTAATGATATAATAATTTGGTTATTTACAGTGACTCAATATGTGAAGGAATTAGTTCAATCTAAAAATTGGAAATCATGTGTGAGCTCGTCAATACCAGCAGTGACATGGCTCAAACGATACAGATGGACAGAAGATTTGGTTTATGATATTATTTCGGGATTAACCGTAGCCATAATGCACATCCCGCAAGGAATGGCCTATGCACTTTTAGGAAATGTACCACCTGTTGTTGGAATATATATGGCATTTTTCCCAGTTTTAATATATTTCTTTTTTGGTACATCCAAGCATGTATCAATGGGTAAATAACTAGTAAATTATAGATAATATACAGAATGTAACAGAACATGTGAGATGTACTTCGGGAGCTCTCTGATTGTATATTTAAAAATAATTTAAAATGTTATTGCAAACATATGCTCTATCTGTCTTCAAGCCAACTTTTCACAAACTGTTCTATGGTTTATCATTCTTATTTTATATCTGTTAGATAATCACTGAATTTCCTCTCTTACGATGAAAACTTGTAGATCATTATGTAGTTCTTCATTTATTATGTACCATGGTGCGTCATTTATTATATGTAGTATGATTGATAGCATGACTTCCATTTTATCATATTTTACATATTCCGTTACAACTTGTACATTACAAATATTATATTTTTAATAATTATTAAATGCATTTACATACAGGGACATTTGCTGTTGTCTGTCTTATGACTGGTAAAGCTGTAACATCATATTCATTACCGTTAAACGATCATGGAAACTCAACTTATACAGCTTTTACACAAATAGACAAAGAATATTATTCATTTACACCAATCCAAGTTGCAACAGCAATTACATTATTAGTTGGAATATTTCAAGTAAGTTATCCAAATTCTATCTTTATTTTCTATGTAATTTTATTTTTGTATATATAATTCAACAAAGAAATTTTTCTAGATCATAATGTATATATTTCGATTAGGAGTTATAAGTACATTACTTAGCGAAACATTAGTCAATAGCTTTACTACAGGTGCTGCAGTCCATGTTTTCCTATCACAGATCAAAGATCTGTTGGGATTAAAACTTCCAAAACAGAAAGGATACTTCAAACTTATTCAAGTATGTATAATTAATATTCAAATATTTTGGCTAACATTTGTGATATCATTTTAATTATTTCAGACTGTTATTAGTATAGTCAAAGAAATATCTAATATAAATGTTGCTTCTGCGATTGTATCGACAATAGCAATCATTATTATGGTCTT